TATTGATACTGTAGTAATCAAGAGAGAGAGATGCCTCATTTCTTGCCAATGATTACCTAATATGAAAGGCATTTTTCCATGTCTACTTTGTCTTGGTTGTAGCTCTTATTTCTATTTTTTCCTTTTGCTTGAGAAGCCCTATAGTTTATCTATCAGGTCCATATACTATAACATGTGCAAATTTTCAGAATTTACCAAGTTTACAGTTTAGAGTGGCTCCTGATGAATTGGGATAAAATTTACAAATGCTGTGTGAGATGAAAACCTGCTTTGAAAGCCAGTAATACAGGTTTGTCTGAGAGAATCTCAGCCGTGTGTATCATCCCTGACTGTTCTTCATGATAATTCTGGGATGCTTTTATGGGCTTAGCTCCCAAGGGTTCTCAAGGCTGAGGTGGTGCAACTGATGTATCACAGCATGACAGTGCCTCCCCAAAGCCTGCCGCTGGCATCAGCAGAGCTGCTTGCCCCAGCGTTTGCTGCTAACCCAGAGCCACCAGAGCCTCTCCAGCTGGGTGTGGGCCATGGCAGGACTGTCCACATCACATCCCTGGGGGCACACACTCCTTGCTTGGCTCCTGGGCTTTCTTTCCTCCTTGCCTGGATGCTTGGAGACTCCTGAAGCTGAGACACAGATCACCAAGTTAGCAGAGCAGGCAGCTTACAGCTTTGAAGGAAAACTTAATGAACCATGAAGCCTCAGTTAATTATTTTTCTTGCTGCTATTGTTTTTTACTGCTGCTGACAGTGGATTTACCTCTGCCCTCTCCCACAGGGATCCTGCTGTTCCTAATGCTGCTGTAAAAACCTGGTTTTCTAAGGAGCACAACTAAACTTTTCTGTTTTCCTTTTGTGTTTATCCTTTCTCTTTTTGAAACATCAGCAATCCTCACAAGTGGCCCATTCAGCAGCTGGAGGAGTGGCCCCAGTGGAGAGAGTACAAAGGCAGCCCCTGGTGCTCGGCCAGCCCCTCGCACAGCCAGGCTGGGGCACTGCCTTTCCTCACAAGCCTTCCCCTGGGCAGCAGGGTGCTGCGAGACCAAAAGCTTTGCTTTTAATTTAGACGTGGCCCTTGAAGTCAGGGTGGCTCCTCAAAGCACCACACATCCTTTTCATACATCTGAAGTCCTGCAGGGGCTGACTTTGATCCCGAGGTTGTGGAGGAAGGGTTGGGATTTCAGCTACACAGTATGAGCAGTTATATGTTTAATTTGCGCTGCCTGCAGCCTCCTCCTCTTTTGTACAGCTGCGATGCGAGGAGAAATCATCCGGAGGGATGCTCGGTGCTGCTCAGTACGAAAGGAAAACCCTGCCCAGGGTCGGGCTCCTTGCCTGCCTGCAGTGGGGCTCGCAGGACCACCTCTCTGCAAGGCTCGTGTGCCCTCTAGCTGCTGCATCCTCCGAGAGCCCTGCCCGAGCTGGCAGGCAGGACTTGGAAGCGAATTCTTCAATAACTGAAGTCGCAGGAGCAGTCGAGACCAAGGGGTTGATTGCAGTGGCTGCTGCCTTGTTATGAGTCAACAGATAAAATTTGTGTTTGCTGCTCAGGGGGAGAATTTGTTGTTTGAAAGATGTTTGCCTACAGTTTACACGCTGAGCTGAAAGCAGGGGGAAGTGACATGTCAGCAGGATGACTCCTGTGGCACCTAGAAGATAGAAAATCAGAATGTGAATCAGAAATATGTACTGTGGAGCAGGTAGCAAAGAGTTGGAGAGTTGAACATATTTTGTTTCAATTTGTAGGTTTTGCACAGGCATTTTTGTGATGTGTTTCTCTGCAGAGTGCAGATCTCTGCAGGCTCACAAGCAGTCAGCTGAGGTGACTCTGAGTGCTTTGGTCTGTCCCAAAGGGACCCAGCAAAGGTGGGGGAGCTGCTGGTGCTCCTGCAAACACAGCAATTAAGGGTTTGAGGGCAGGGAGGCTGGGCAAACACTGCTCAGGGTGGCTGCAGGGCAGGGGAGCTGAGTGCAACAGGGAGGGGTTGTCACACCAAAATGCCCCCTGTGCCCTCAGCCACGGGCACAGAACACCACACTGCTGTGAGAGGGCACTCACACTTGCTTCTCTCATTTGTCACTCACATTTAGCAGTGTTGGGGTACAGCACCATCAGCCCCAGGACCTCCTGTGGGCCCAGCAGCTTGAATAGGCTGAGCAGCTGCAGCTGTGGTGATGGGCACAGCATTTCTAACAGGCTAAATAGCCACAGCTGAGGTGATGGGCACAGCATTTCTAACAGGCTAAATGGCCACAGCTGAGGTGATGGGCACAGCATTTCTAACAGGCTAAATGGCCACAGCTGAGGTGGTGGGCACAGCATATTTAACATGTTAAATAGCCACAGCTGTAGTGATGAGCATAGGTGGAGCTTGTTTGCAGAGACAGTCCAGGCTGAGGGGTGAGAGGAGTATGTGGATTTTTCTGGGGCTAACTCCATAGGTAGAGGAAGGAAGCCCTGAGCCACAGCATTTTTCAGACCATATTGTGGGATCTTGTGGAGAGGTAAGTGGGCTAAAATTCTGCACTAGTTTTTAAGTGGTATTCTTTCTGCTAAGGAAGAGGGAACTATACTGTCTGTGCTCTACCAGTGTGGTGTTGGAGTAACTCCTGCTCTTCTAGTGCTCCACCGAGGAGGTGTGGCTCAGAACCTCTGCCTTTTTTTTTTTTTTTTTGCCTTATGTGTTTTCATGTGTTTTGCTTCTGTTTCACATCTACCTGCTAAACTTGTGTTAAAAATCTCCCTCAATTAAATTTTACACTGCTTCTTTATGACTTATTTCCCAGAACAAGGCTTTGTATCTGAAACAATTATAAAGGGTGTTAGGCTTAATTGGATCTTCATATTTTAAAATAACCGGATGAGTCCTTGCCCATGTGTTGGCCAAAATGATTGTGTATGTATTATATAAAAAAAAAGTGTGTATAGTGTGTATACAGAGGGCCACCTACAGTTTACACGCTGAGCTGAAAGCAGGGGGAAGTGACATGTCAGCAGGATGACTCCTGTGGCGCCTAGTAAAATGGAAAATCAGAATGTGAATCAGAAATATGTACTGTGGGGCAGGTAGCAAAGAGTTGGAGAGTTGAACATATTTTGTTTCAATTTGTAGGTTTTGCACAGGCATTTTTGTGATGTGTTTCTCTGCAGAGTGCAGATCTCTGCAGGCTCACAAGCAGTCAGCTGAGGTGACTCTGAGTGCTTTGGTCTGTCCCAGAGGGACCCAGCAAAGGTGAGGAAGCTGCTGGTGCTCCTACAAACACAGCAATTAAGGGTTTGAGGGCAGGGAGGCTGGGCAAACACTGCTCAGGGTGGCTGCAGGGCAGGGGAGCTGAGTGCAGCAGGGAGGGGTTGTCACACCAAAATGCCCCCTGTGCCCTCAGCCACGGGCACAGAACACCACACTGCTGTGAGAGGGCACTCACTTGCTTCTCTCTTTTGTCACTGACATTTAGCAGTGTTGGGGTACAGCACCATCAGCCCCAGGACCTCCTGTGGGCCCAGCAGCTTGAATAGGCTGAGCAGCTGCAGCTGTGGTGATGGGCAGAGCATTTCTAACAGGCTAAATGGCCACAGCTGAGGTGATGGGCAGAGCATTTCTAACAGGTTAAATGGCCACAGCTGAGGTGATGGGCACAGCCTTTCTAACAGGTTAAATGGCCACAGCTGAGATGATGGGCACAGCATTTCTAACAGGCTAAATGGCCACAGCTGAGGTGATGGGCACAGCATTTCTAACAGGCTAAATGGCCACAGCTGAGGTGATGGGCACAGCATTTCTAACAGGCTAAATGGCCACAGCTGAGGCGGTGGGCACAGCATTCTAACAGGCTAAATGGCTTCAGCGGTGGTGATGGGCAGAGCATTTCTAACAGGCTAAATGGCCACAGCTGAGATGGTGGGCACAGCATATTTAACATGTTAAATAGCCACAGCTGTGGTGATGAGCATAGGTGGAGCTTGTTTGTAGAGACAGTCCAGGCTGAGGGGTGAGAGGAGTATGTGGATTTTTCTGGGGCTAACTCCATAGGTAGAGGAAGGAAGCCCTGAGCCACAGCATTTTTCAGACCATATTGTGGGATCTTGTGGAGAGGTAAGTGGGCTAAAATTCTGCACTAGTTTTTAAGTGGTATTCTTTCTGCTAAGGAAGAGGGAACTATACTGTCTGTGCTCTACCAGTGTGGTGTTGGAGTAACTCCTGCTCTTCTAGTGCTCCACCGAGGAGGTGTGGCTCAGAACCTCTGCCTTTTTTTTTTTTTTTTTTTTTTTTTTTGCCTTATGTGTTTTCATGTGTTTTGCTTCTGTTTCACATCTACCTGCTAAACTTGTGTTAAAAATCTCCCTCAATTAAATTTTACACTGCTTCTTTATGACTTATTTCCCAGAACAAGGCTTTGTATCTGAAACAATTATAAAGGGTGTTAGGCTTAATTGGATCTTCATATTTTAAAATAACCAGATGAGTCCTTGCCCATGTGTTGGCCAAAATGATTGTGTATGTGTTATATTAAAAAAAGTGTGTATAGTGTGTATACAGAGGGCCACCTCATAGTATTTTCCTTGCTGCTGTAGCAGGCAGGAGGGACAGCAGGGCAGTAGGAATATCTGCAAACCTGCACTGCAGAAACCCACTCAAGAGCAAATATCAGCCCCAGGATCAGTGTGGCTTGGGAAGCTGTGGCATTGTGTGTGGTAGGTGCCATGGAAACATCTCCTGGTGGTAACTCAGCCCTCAGCTTGTGAAAGGTGCCTCCACGGGGAAGTGCTGGCTGCAAGGAGTCCTCTTTTACTATGAGTTAATTTCCACCTTCTGCCGACTCTGGAGGGAAACCACTGATTAAGGTGATGCCTAGCAATTATACTATGATAAGTTAATTGCAGAGGAACAGCCCCATGGCTGCAGTGAGCTCTGGCCAGGCTGCACGGCTCTGTGGAGGGGAAGAAAGGTGATGGTGTCTTGGAGCAGCACAGCTGAAACACTGGCACTCTTCTGCAGCCTAACATGGGAGCGGGTGCCTCCCTTTCCATCTGTGTAAGTGAACTTAAATCTGGCTGCTTCACTCCTTCCTCCTTTCTGAAAAGGCTCTGCTGCATCTGAGAGGGGAAAGGGAGGGATTTACAGTCATGGTGCACAGATATTTTAGAAGCTTTTTGTAACATCTTGTAGCTTATGTACAAAAATGCTGTAAAATATGTTTGGCACATGCTGATATTTGTTCTTTTTCAATAACTATTTATACTGTAACACTAACATCACAGCCTAAACTTTCCTATGTACTAAAAGAGTAAAATGGCCTGGGGTGTTTCGAGTGCTGTGTGTGCTTTTGCCATGGCAGCAGGGCTGGCCTGGAGCTCCAGCTCATGGCTTTGCTGCAGGCAAAGTGTGTGAAAAACAGGTTCACTAAGGCAGTTCGGCTTCAAACCCATAAGAAAACCTTTCCCTTTTCCTTCTGAAAACATAGTAATAAAAACATTGAAAAAGAGGCTGGTTTGAGATAATGCTACCAAAAAAAAAAAAAATCCCCTACAGGTACTGTTTAAATAGTCCTAGTGCAGAAATGGTAAATCCGGGTGTTCCTGCTTTGGACTTGTGTTCTCCTTGCCTGGTAGGAATGAGGATGGAATGCAGCAATTACTGTGGGCCATGGCACCTGCCTGTCAGGCAAGCAAGGGGCTTCGGGGAGCTGGGAGAAGAGGGCAGGGCAGCCAGGACTCCTTCCAGAGTGCCAGGCAGAATTTCCCCTTTTTTAAAATATTCCTGAGGGATATTATTATTAAATATAGAGTTACTATATTTATTTTTAAATGTGCCTGAGCATCTATTTAGAAGTATGTTTTTAAACAGCCCCAGGTGGCCCTGAGGGCCTGCAGAGCCGCTGTGCCCGCTCAGGGCGGCCCTGCCCTCACAGAGCCCCTCAGCCGCCCTCAGGGACAGGGCCCCCACCAGAGCCCACAGGCTCCCCAGCCCACGCCCCGCAGGATGGAAAAGCAGCTTCCTCCATCAGACAGCATGAAAAGTGCAAGTTTTTTGTGATTATTATTTATTTTTTATGCTTTTGCATCAGTTGTTGGGGTAAGAAATTTGGAATAACTGGGTGAGCAGAAAGGAACATCTTCCGCGGCTCACGCCATGGCTGCCGCTTAAATTCCATTTCAGGTTCCTTCATGATCTTGCATTTTTTTATCCTCAGGAATTAGGTAGAAATTCACAAATTTCAGAGTTGGAAGGCTGTGCACCAGCAGGGAGTCAGCTTTTTCCTGACTTTTGGGGCTGTTTTGAGGGGTAGTGACCCCTCTCTGTCCCAAACAGCCTATTTGCCTCAACACAAGGCCCCTTTTCCCTGACTGTAGGGTGAGGGGGCTTTACTGGAGTTCGCCCCATCACAGGTCTCACCTCAGCTCTAAAAAAGAATATTAGTAAGAATATACAGTAGAAATAAAATCTGTACTAAGATGCTACAAAAAAGACAATAATTTTGCCAAAGCTGTAGATCCTTGGAGGTTAAAATAATAAAAACCAGTTGATATTTACCACTTGATTGTTTTTATTCCCCAGCAATCATTCTCTTCTATACAAGTTAGGCACACAACAAATAAAGTTTCACCAGAGCTACAGTTCAGCAGAGAAGGAAGCACATTTGGTGTTCCTCTGGAAACCCTTGTAGAGGATGCAAAGCAATGTGGGGTTCCTTCTCTTGTGACACAGATGGTGGAGTACCTGGAGGTATTTGGTAAGTTCATATTTTTCCTGCTCGGCTTCTGGAAACTGGTATTCTTTGTTTAAGCTTTGCTTTTCAGCTGTCAAAGCTGGAAAATCCTTATTTACAATTATTGTGCTTTCTTAAAGGAGCTCTTGCTTTTTGAACTCTAGTTCTCAGCACAAAGATGTGGTTAAGTAAATGAGCACTGCTCACTGTTCTGCATTTCTTACACAGGTCTGGAGCGTGTCGGTATATTTCGGGTTGGTGGCTCAGCAAATAAAATCAAGGAATTGAGGCAGAAGTACAATCAAGGGGAAAAAGTAGACCTTATTAATGATGGAGATGTTGATTCTGTGGCCAGTCTCCTGAAGCTCTTTCTGAAAGAACTACCAGTGGCTGTTTTTCCAGACAATATTTGTTCTGGCTTACTAAAAACTTTCCAAGGTACAGAACGGGCACCTTCCAAGCTTCTGTCCATTCTCTGACAGTGACAGATAATGTGTTCATTACACTTTCTATAAACAAGGTTTTGTGTTTCCTTAACCTGAAGCTGATATTTAATTGCTTTGGAGGGACCAAGCATCTACAAACTTTTTTACAGTCTTTTTAAAATTCATTAAGTCTTTTGGGTTCCCTTCCTTCCTGTGGCAATGAATCCTGCAATCCAATCCTGTTTTCTTTGAGAAAGCTCTTCCTCTGCATGCTTTCTTTTTTAAATTGTATACCATACTAGTTACTGAGATAATATTTTTAGTTTTAATGCAATCTCCACCATAATGCTGCTTGTGTCTTTATATAGCCACTGCCTCACTTCTCTCTTTTCCAAGCTGAAGCCTCTTTTTTTATTTAACCTTCCCTGCTAAAGGAGGCTTTTCTGCACATCGCTGTTCTTATTGAGAACTGTGTTTTTAGTTAGCATTTATTTTTCCAGTCCTCTTATAATCTTGGACAGCAGTGTGTGGAGCAGGATGCAAAGCCCACCCAGAGCACCCCAGCAGCCCTCTGCCTGTTCCCTGTTCATGCCTGCAGTGGCTGAGCTCTGTTCTCAGCCTGCCAGGTGATTCTGACTGCTAGCTAATTCAGGTGTTTGCATACAAATAAACGGCTTTTGTGGGTTACTTTGCAGGCTGCTTTTATTCGAGGTGCCCTAGGAAAGTTTACAAAGAAAGAGAAAGGAAGCAGTTTCATGAGCTGTGAAAGTCTGTGCAGAACCACCTATGGGGCTTTTGCGAGCACTTGGTTTTTTCTACCCTGGACAGTCTTGCTGTTATTTTTTAAAGTTATTTTTTCCTCTTTGTCCCCTTTTCTGTTTCACTCATTAATCAGTTGAGCACCATGGGCCTTGGCCTGTGCAGAATGTGTTTTTTAGGACTAAAATTACCCTCAAGGGCACGATTTGCTCATAAGCAATGTCAAAGCTACGCAGATGTGTCCCGGTGATCTATGGCAAATTTGAGCATCAGCTGCCAATTATTGAGCAGTACTGTCATCTCAATTCTAGTAACCAGGAGACTTTATCTTACTGATAGGGAACTGCTGATCAAATGGAGTTGTTTGTGAACCCATTTTCTGCCTTGTTACCCTTCTTTGAAGAATAAGAACCAAGAAAATGTTAAGTATCCCCAAATTAGAATTTTAAGCATCTCTTGTGTAACTGCAGTTGCATATTTATAGAGCAAAGATGTTTTGAGTCTGAGAGCTACCAATTAGTCAGGAAATGAAGATGATGTGGGGCTGAAAGGCTACAATTTCTCATTCCTCCTAATGAGAATCATACAGCATGTGTAAAATCTCTTGGGAGAGTCAAGGCTGTCAACCTTGCACTGTCTTTCAAGGCAGCTTTGAGGATTCAGGTACATGACTCCTGCTTGCAATTTCATCAGGAAAGCAGCAAGTGCTGGATGATTCTGCCTTAAGAGGAAAAATATCAGAAACAGTGAGTGCAAAACTCAATATCTGGAAAACCCATGGTTATTAAATATTTGTAAGTGAAAAACATGTCAAAATTCAGTGTACAAAATCCTTGTTTGGGACCTATTTATTCTTCACATTGGTCTAATATATTTTAAAACTTTCTTTCTTACTTATATCTAATGTCTGTGATGAAATTGTGTTGGTATGAGGAATGTCTATGTTATAAGTTTGGGTTTGGTTTTTTTCCCCCCCAGAGCACAAAATCAACACAACAGAATGCATAGAGAACCTGAGACAGTTGCTCAGCTGCCTGCCCAAAGCCCACCAAAACCTTCTTCAGTTCCTGTCTGCTTTCCTGTTAAAGGTGGCAACCTACAGTGCAGTGAATTTCATGACTCTGGAAAACCTGGCCATCGTGTTTGGACCTGCTCTGTTCAAGTGAGTCCTCTCTGCTCAGCCGCCTCAAACAGCACAACAAGGTCACACCTCCCAGGGAGGCTTTCTGTCGTAACTCTGGGTCCAATAGGCAGTGGAGCATTTTGTAAGTTCAGTGTTTATATGATGTATTGTGGGCAGATGTGGCAGGTTCTGAGCTGGCTGATCCCTTTCATTCTGTTGGGCACTGACTAGACAGGGCAAGCCTCAAGTGAGAAACTATATGAAGAGACATGAGGGATAGAGAGCTGTTTAATGACAGCTGCTTCTCTTTTCTGAGCCAAGATAAGTGCTGGCTGTGGGGGCTACTTAGTTGGATTTAATTCTGAAAACCTCACCCCCACTTTGGCCTTGTAACAGCATTTGATATCAGAGAAATGAATCCCTGTTATCAAGAAAGAGAAGCAACTCATTCTGCCCTTGCCACTAAAATTCAAGTTGACGTGCAAGCTGAGCAGTGAGTGCTTGGCTGGAGCTAGAGAAGTCATGTGTGGGGTGGTGGCGAGCGGGCACAAAACTGGAAGCTAAAAATGAGAGGTGGGACAACATGTCATACAAGTCAAGGTGATAAGAAGGAACAGCCTAGTGTGATCAGATAATGGAGGATTTTCCCGTTCACTGTTAACACTACAGGATGTTAAAATACCTGCTACAACTTGTAAATCTTTGTTCTAGTGGATCACAGCCATGCCAGTTTAATATGAACTATAAGCCAATGACATTTACAAAATATATCTATTAGCAGGTAATATATTCTATGCAGTAAAAAAGCCTTGTTATTCAGTTGGGTGTTTTATGGCAAGCCAAGTTAATTTTAAAAGTATATATTCAGCAAAATTGGTGCCCAGCATCAATGACAGGCTTTGTTTTGTGGAAATGGACTTTTAAGCCTTGCTGCTGTTTCATAGGTCCCTATATGTGGTCTCTGTTTTCCTGCTCTGTGGGTTTATTGCCAGGTCTACCAGAATTTGACCTTTGGACTTGATACAAGTTCATGTATTTAACAAAAGCACAGCAAGGGAAGTGAATCTAACAAGATGTGGTGTGGTTGGAACTATGCCCTCTGTGAAAAAACCTCACCATGGAGGATACTCAGCAGTGCAACAAAGCAGTTTTGCAACCAGACCCCAAATTCCTTAGTATCTGGATACTAAAGTTAGTAAATGAGTGGAGACAGATGAGGTTTATTTATCAGTGTTTGGATTAGTAGTGTGGTGATACTTATGAGCATTGGCTGATACTAAAAGGCCTTCACTAAGAATCTGTCCCTTGGCCCCCACATTAACTCAAAAAGCACTTCACTGACTGTCACTTTTCTGCCATCAGGTGGCACTTGCTCTCACCTGGGGCTTCTGTGCATGCACGTGTGTGCAAGAAGACTTTGTTCCTTTATCTCCATTCCCAAATTATCCCAATGTGTGCCCACTGATTCCTGTATCTGCACATAAGGATCCAGTGTGCTCCCTTATTGATTGATGAGCTGCTTCAGTTTCTAAATATCCCACTCTTCTGGGACATGGCCCAGCTACTTCTGAACATGTGCCTTTGCCTGGTTTTAAGGTACATTCAGTGCTAAATTGAGCACTTGTGGCAATGACCTGTCTGAGAAGCCTTCAAAACAATCAGCACAGGGTTTCCCTGCCAGTGACCTGTCAAGACAACAATTACCATAAATAGAAGTATGTCTGCCATATAAATGTTATCTTCAACTCTTTGCAGTCATTCTGATCTCACCAGCTCTGGGAGACAACCCAGTAAATATGAAGCTCAGTTTTTTTTTTTGTAAAACATTTAACACCATGGTGCTGTGCTTGTTGAGTTACCTCCTAGGGTTATGAAAAATCACCTTTTTGGAGGTTGGGCGGAGAGGAGAGCCTTGAAACTGGCACTGTCAGTGAGATTGCTCTATACCACTTCCTGCTGAGTGACCTGAGGCCTTCAATGATTCAGAATAAATCACTGGTATTGTCCTGTATAGCAGCAAAATTCAAGGTAGTCAGCTGTGGCAAATCATATTGCTGACACAGGGGAAAAAGTCATAAATATCCTTTATGTCTTTCAGAGCAAGAATTAGTGCAATTATCTGGCACATTATGAAACATTTGGCAGCCAGAGTGTAGGAAATTGGGACATGTTGGGTAGTACTTGCTATAGTTGTTCAGTGTAAATGTGAAGGTTATGGAAAAAACTGCTTTTAGATCTAATCTGCAGAAATGTGTGCTCCATGCAATTGCTGCAATTAACCTTCTGGAGGTAATGGCAGCTCCTCATACAGCATGAATTCATTGCAGGTGTTAAAACTGTTCTTCGTGTATTCTGGCAATCTGCATTTTTGTGAAATTACTTCTTCCTTCTTTGACATTGAACAACTAAATAAAGTTGTTTATGAGCCTTTTAACTTTAAATTTCTTACCTTTTAGATTCAAGTGTAAATTTTGTCTATGATTATCACCTATTTCAATATTTTGGCACTTTTATTTGTGAGTAGGAATATTCTGTAGTTAGAACATGGAACCTTCTTAGGCCTTGGGACCACAAAAGTAGAATATTTAACTTTGTACATTATAAGCCTAAAGTGCACATACTTTGTGATTTGTAGCTATTGTTATTGTAACACAAAAATTACGAGGCTTAGCACAGGTATTATACTGCAAGTCTAGTTAGAGGATCAAGGAAAACTGGTTTTGCTCTCCCAGTATCTGTAAATGCTTAGGAGAATGCTTTTATCAGAGATCTGACTGATGTTACTTAAATTTCCATGGATACTTTGTTATGCTTCATCTTGGTAAAGAGATTTTTAGTTCTGGTGTCAGTGAGCAATTCTTGCATGAGTGCACAAGGACTCCAGCCAGCCAGCTGTTTGCTTCCACTCACTTTGACTCATTGTTTCTGTAAATTTGCAGCAAGCCTGTGGCGGCAGGGAACCTTGGCAGATCTCCTGGACAAAGCCAAGGCAGGGCACTTGTGTGGACTTTTTAGCCTGCACTTTGTGCCTAAGCAGCTTTGGAAGTTTTAGATTCACTCAAGAAAACCAGTAGCTAATTCCTGATGGTCAAGTTTTACTTGTTTCTTATTCACAGTGAGTGTTCTTCTGGGATTTGTACTACAACTGATTATGGGGCTTTTGTGGGGAAGTGCAGAATACACCTCAGCAGCTCTGCTCTTCCTAGGATGACGTGCCTGGATTTAGCAGTGGGGGAACCTGGCTCCCCCTTACTGTCACCCCAATAATGGGGTTTCTGGTAGCAGCAGAAGTATCTGAACAGGCAAGAAGTGGTTATTTCACGAAATTAATTGAAAGTCATTGTGGAAGGTGGCTGAAGAGAAAACTAAAAGTGTACTCTATATTTGGAATGCACACCTGTTGCCACCCATGAATATCTGCTGATGAGACATTGATATTTGGAGTCAGCTGTCTCCTCCCAGTCTATAGTTTAGATCTGTTTTAGGATGCAATGAGAACTGGGCACTCAAACCCAGGCTGCTAATAAGGAAAAGGAGGACTCAATGAGTGGTCTGGGAGCCATTTATCTTTCTGAATAGCTTGTGCAGTGCTCCTTCTGGTGAGGAGTTAACAGCTGGTAGAGGTGGATTCAGGAACACGTGTCTAAGCTAATAAAAGAAGCTGAAAAAGAAGACAAAGGACTAAAAATACTGCTTGTCTGGCCTGTGAGCTGAGGGTGTTGATGTTTGGTAAGTGATGAGTAATCTCTTAGGATTGTTGTATGCAGCAAAGGCTATTGCTCAGTCAACCACGTTTTACAAGCAGCCTTGTTTATTGTGGAGAAACTGAGTCCATCCCAAGAAAAATGGGAATGCAAGAAAGAGAAATGTTTATTAATCCTAAAGAAGGAACTGATGACACAGTGGTTCATCCTGTAAATCTCTCTGTTATACCTGGCTAAAACCCTGCTTAAACCTTCTGCTTCCAAAAGGAGCCCAAACTTAAGTCCTTACAGAAACAACAGTAAGTTTACAAAAGAGGAACACGAATGAGAGCAATTGGACTGGGCCCAATGTGTATATTTGTACTTTAAAATTGCAAATGAATAATGAATGTACTCATTTGGCAAAGAGAAGACTGGTGTATTCATGCTCCATATTAGTCTCCTGAGTTTATGAATTTCTTGTTTAAATATTAATATTGTGCTGGGTGTAACAAAGTTGGTGCAGCATGGCTGGAGAAGCTCCATTAAGGGCACAGCATTTATGTAAATGTCATCCAAGCTTCCAAATAGTTGGTGAGGGGAATACACAAGTCCTTCAGGGGTTGAGATTAAAATCCTATATAAAGAATCCTTTTAATTAAATTATTCTGACTTGATGGGGACAGTAAAAATTTAACTACTATTCATAAAGACCCCAAAATAGGGGGAGATCAAGCGAGAATGGGTTGGGTTTTTGCCTAACTCAACATGGTTAATGGGAACATCTGGAATTTCCACTTCCTGATACAACTGATGTCTGTGGATTTATAAATTAATACACTGAAGCAGTTTATTACCTGTGGGTTTGTTTTTTTTTTCCAGACAGTTCTGGTAATAAGACATTCCAGTGATCAAAGCTCACCTTCATAAATGAAGGTAGAACAAAACTAAACTACTCTTTCCACCCCAATGCCAGTGAGCAATGGCAGATTGATAGGGTGCTTTTTGTTTGCCTGTCCTTTTCACCCTTGATTTTTCAAAGCTTGTGTCTGATCTCCTGTCAGGTTCTTACTCCTTTGCTGTGCTGCCACAAGGATTCACTGTGTTGTGAACCAGTGCAGCAAAGCTGGGGCTCTGTGCCTGTACAGGTCCTGATGTTTTGAACCCCCCAAGCTCCAGTGGTCACTGTCCCAGCAATTGCTGCTTTGCTGAATTACCTTGGCCACTGGGAGGGCTCCCTGTGTCACCCATGACCAGCCCCTGATCTGAGAGCTCCTAAGGTTAATCCAGCTCCTCTTCCTTTAGGATTCCTGTCAGTCCCTTGGCTTGTGAAGAACAAAGGCTTTACAATGGCCTCCTGCTGTATTTGCTCCAACACCAGGAGATGCTTTTTGTTGACCTGGACCCTTGCTTCTCACAGAGACAAGAAGATGGCCTTCAGGTAAGAAAGTTGCAGCAAGAAATAAAAAGTGCTTCATTAGTTAAAACCCAGAACTGGAAATACATTTGCTTATACACAGTGTAATTAATGACTGTACCTTGGAGCCAGCAATGTAAATATTCATGATATACCTAAGCTGGAGAGGAAACGTGAGTTAAAATTCTAATTTGGAAAAAAAGCAAGTGCAAAAGCAAAAGGTCCAGAAGAAAATCCCAAGCTGTTCTACTTTAAATATATTAATGCCAAGCTTTGTTAGATCAAAGCCACTGGATTTTTCCTTGAGTGAAACACATTTTATTTTGTGTGTTTTGTCTATACATTGATGCTGCAGGAAAGCCAAATCAGAAGGTTTGAAACCCCTCTCTTATTTTTTAGAACTCACTGTCTATGTTCCAGCCTCTCCTTGGGTGTTTTCTAAAACACTGCTGGCTCTTTGATTCCTTTTTTTGCCTCTTTGTTGAAAACCTCGTGGTGCAAGAAACATGATAGACAAATCCTGACTTAGAGAGAGGGTCAATATAAATCTTGTTTTCACTTTGTGATGTGGTGTATCATTGCTGCTGAACTTGAAACTGATTTTTGGAAAAAGCCATGAAGGAAATGTAGCAAACCCTGCAGTTTAATACTTCACAGTGCAGTTTTGTGATCCTTGAGGGTCATGGTAAAGCTGGCAGCAGTGTGCCAGGTCAAGTGATGGACTGTGGAAGAGATTAGTGCTGCATGTAAATGTGGGTGATGATATTTGTGTTTATGACTCCTAAATTTTCTGGCTTCTTTCTCCAAATATCCCTGTTAAGGAAAGCTACCAGACTTTTCAAACAAAGTTAAAGTCAGTATTTAGAACATATTATGTATCCCAAAGAGAATATTGGGCCTGTAATGTTCCTTGGAAGCTTTCTTTGAAAACAAAACCTGTACAGACACAGGTAAAAAGAACACGCTATACTGATATAAGGATGTTTCTAAAATATTTCTTGAATGCCCCAAGACATGGCCCCAAATGTAACACTAGGATTGTTTCACACTAAAACAGTGTTGAGCTCATGCTCCCAGCTCCCCTTTCTCTCTGAAGAAGTCCCATGTCACTGCCACCTCTGGGAGTTTCTGAAACCAGTACTCAAATGAGCACACAAAATAAAAATATTGGCTGTCCCAAGACATCTGTTTGCAAAGCTAGAGGAAGCATCAGCAGCTAAAAGAAATTGGAGAGGTATTAGAGAAGCCAGGAAACCAGGCTTTCACTTGCAGTGCTTTTGTTTTAGAACCAGCTTCACTCCCTGTAATTCTGCAAAATGTCACAGTCTGTCTGGAATTGTGGTGATGTGGGAAAGAATTCTGCTGAAAAGCTGCTTTCAAGTTCTTTAATAAAGCCTCAGACAAGGCATAGCCATGGGGCACTCTCCTACTCTGAGGTAAACTTATGAAAGAAATCCCATCTGTGGGTGAGAAGGGAATTCAGTATTCTGTGGCTGATCTTGTTTTTGTAATTTTTGGCAGGAAACTCAGCACATTGGATAGGTACCCTTCATCTTTCATAATATAACAATTGCTCAAGGTCCACTAAACTAGAAACATCAAAGTTAGGTTTACAAACTAAACATATTAGAAGTCCATGTTTTTCTTCCAGTAAAACAAGCAAAAAGTGAAATGGCAAACCTGGCTCAGATTCCTTGTTGCGTCCTGGAAATGAAACTTGTTTTTACTGGCTTTTATACAGATACTTGCATTTGGACTACTTAATTCCTCTGATTTTGTTGTTGGGTTGTCTTTTTTTCCCCATTTCAATGTTTTAAAAGTTAACCTGAGCTCTGTCAAACTAAAGCCATGCCAATCTGGCAGGCCTGCCACACAGCTGACAGGACTTAACCCTCAGTTGTGCTGTTTGTGGGCTGAAATGGCAGATGGATTGTTCTGAGCACAGTTCTTAGTGTCTCAAAGTTCCAAGAGCCATGCCACTGACACTGTGTGTGCTGGCTGATTCAGGCTGACAGACTGGGAGAAGAAGTTTTGGGTTTAAGTTTTTTTGTAGCTCAGAACTATTACCCTAGGCTGGACAGTGGGCTATTTACAGCCACCAATTATATATAAAGATAGTGGTTTATAGTTATATCCCAGACACGATGTATTTTAATTTGTCCTTTTTTTCTGTGTGTTGTACATATATTTTTCACCCTTAAAATAGAGTAAGAATGCCCCAGAATCCTACTAGGCTGGGGTTTTGTGTCTGTGTGTGGGTTTTCTTAAATGCATTTTATTTGAATTTTGATTTTTTTTTTCCCCCCCTCCACTCCCCTGCTCCTTAGAATTCACTTGCATTTAAAGCTGTCCTATAAACTTGTGTCCAAGCTGCACTGGTACTCAACTGATTTTCATGTTTGGATTAAATAATTCTTTAAAAGGAGGTTAGGCACCACGGTGTCTGTTTTCACCTGAGGCCTTTCTAATAACTGTTTTTGTTTTGCTTTTTAATTCCTTGTTTAACCCAAGGAATGTCAATAGCGTGTTGGAGGTGTGCAAGATTATCTTAACTTCTATAGTGTAATTATGAACCAAACCTTGCTATTAGCAATTTGTCATTTCTGCATCTTACATTCCAGATAAAAGTTGAATATGGAATTTGGTTTTTTTTTTTTTTTTGCATCTAGTCCAGGAATTTGTTTCTGTATCTCTTGTTTGTACAGAAGTCATAGATGAATCCTTCCTGATTTAGGCACAAAACCTTTGTCTTGCAAACAAACAGGAGCATGACCTGTTTGTTTGCAAGACAAAGTAGGCAGTGCCATAAAAACCCAGTTTTTATGGGTCCTACAAGCCACTGCTTGTATCCCCATTAAAGCATGGGTTTGGTTAGGAGAAATGCCTACACCCTGAGGAGAGGAGTCTCATTTCTTGTTCTCTTCTCTTGCTTTGTCCTTTCATGCACACTTCACTATATATCAGCAAGGCTGCTCTCTACAATCTTAGAACCCTATTTTGAAGGGATTGCAGGAATCCAGGGGGTTGGGGAAGTGGAGCTGGACAGTATCCTGGACCTGCAGGTTGACCACAGACAGCTCTGAATGAAATTCTGAAACTGTAGTGTGGTTTGGAGCTGCTCAGAAGAGTGCAACTAAATATTTCATGGATACTTTATCTGCTCAAATTATGGCTTTATTGGGAAGGCTTTTGTGGTCTGGAGAGCTTTGTTAATCTTGTGGGTTTTTAGCTTTTTCCACAGAGGATATGGATGTTTCAGCATTAACTCTGTTCTGTGAAAAAAAAAATTTGGTGCCTCACTTGCATGGGAAGTTGTCATAAAATAGAATTGTGGTCACCCAAATGGAATATCCTCAATGTGGAGGACAGCAATAATTTAACTGGTCTTTTACTTTGTTAATCCCATGACAATTCTTGCTGAATTTCAGCTGAAACTTTCAGAACAAATGAACAACCAACAAACCAGACATTATCTCATTATCTGAAGTTTCCAGGTTAGTCTAATTGTCTTGTCAAAATAGTTTTTCCTGGATAGGAGAACATAATTCCATTTCCTATTTGTAGAAGTATTAATTACTTTCTTTCATTTGAGTTTTTTCCTTAACAGTGGTATGTTTTAGTTGGTTTTAGATGTGAACATAGCAAACCCTGTGTGTGCCATGTGAAGTGCTGGGAGATTTGGCAGTGTATCTGTGGGGATTGCTGTTACATTATAGAAGTAATGACTGTTACATTATAGAAGTATAGACTGCTTAATATTATTTCCCATTCCACAGGAAAACTCTTTTCCCTAATCTTTGTAAACTTGCTAAAATATGGACTCATTAAACACTGCATTTTTATTTTCTATTTAAGTACTGATCAAACCAGAAGACTGGACGAAAAATGCCATTAGTAGAGATCAAAGTAGGCAGGCCCTATACCCCCACAAACTTTGTGGCAAATTGTAAAGATGTGTCTCTTCTCTTCTGGAAAAGCACAGCAGAATATGTTACTGACTGTGGGCATAAAGATTTGATGAAAACTGCTGTAGACTGGGGAAGTTTGACTTGAAACAGCTCAAGTGGATGTGGCTGGAGTACTCATTGCTCCTTCTAGGGGCTCAGTGCCAGAGCCTTGCTGCCTGTGGCTGCAAGGAACAGAGCTTTTCTGTGCTGTGCCTGTGGTCTGCAGCAGCCTGGCCTTTGTACTGGAGATCTGAAACTTGGAAAGGACGAGTGTGCCTGCTCTCCCCTTGTGGGGACCTGCAGGGTCTGGAGGAAATGTCACTGGTTTAATGTTTGCTCCAGCAGCGCTGGGGGTTTCTCTTGGCTTGCTGGACAACTCCCCTGGGACACTGCTGCCACACTTCAGCCCCCAGGTGGGTTGTGCTGCTGTTTACTTTTTTCTCTTTTTCCCTTCCTAGTACTCAGAAGCATGGGGATTTTTATTTGGTTGTGGTGGTTTTGGTTTTTTGGTGTTTTTTTTTTTTTTGGTGGTTTGGTTGGTTTTTGGGGTTTTTTTGTTTGTTTTTTTTTTTTTTTGGCCTGGGCAAAGCTGCGCTGGGAGAGAAGCTTGGCAAGAGAGGGTGTGCCCTGTGTGGCAAATGAGGACACTGCTGGCTGTGCTTTACTGTAACAAGCAGCTCTGGCACAGAGGAGGGGAGCTGCTCAGGCTGAAATGCTGAGGCTTTACTGCAGTCAGCGGTACGAGAGCAGAGCTCAGGCAGTGCCATGAGCTGCTCACACTGATCCCGGGCTGCTGTTCCCTAAGGATACAATGTGTGTGAGAAGGGGAGGTCTTTCTAAAACTGCTAACTGATACAGGCCTTTTGTGGCTTGGGAAATGGTTTTGAAGGCAGTACGGGCACAGAAACCAACACACTGGAGTCTCACCTTTGTTACTTATTCTGTGAATGCCCATCCTCAGTCTGGCTGAGAATGGAGCACATGGAAAGCTCCCACATAGTCAGACTTACAGAACCTGTATAGATTACAGGTGAAGGGTGCTCATCTGCAGTTTGTGAAGGGGAGCAATACCTGATG